GAGTAAAAATTCAGAATTATAGACTTTTTAAAATAAGATTTTACAAATTTTGATAAAATGCTAAAAGTCAACCAAGAGCAGTCCTTAGAAAATTTATTTTAATGAGCAGGTAGGAATAATTTGCAATTGGAATATTCATTGCTTACAATTATGTAATTTATAGAATTCCTTGTGTGGCTGAAAACAGCTTGTTCTGAAATACTTCTTCCCCACACCCATCTTAATTCACTTTTAAGAAAGGACTTAGCAATTAATTGGGTGAGTCTTTTCTTAATAATTAGCAAAATGACAAGTTTTATACCAGCTTCAGTCCTGAAATCTGTCTTATTTTTTGGCAAATGCTGAAAGATGGGCAAGATTTTTCTTTCATACTGTTGTATGTATCTGTCATTTGAATTCGGTTTTACTATAAGAGAATCAGAATGCAAAATATTATGGTAAAAACCTAGACCTGTATAGGAAAGAGGTGTTTAAAGTGAGGCTGGTAGCTTTGTTGAGATTTTAATGTTTTGGTCAGAGCTCCTGTCTTCACTTTGGCTTAAGAGTTTGTATCTTGTAGAATCCTTTCAGATGTATCAAAAAGTTTGAATCAGAGTTAAAACTTTTATATAAGGGTACCTAGGAAGGAAATCCTGTATCTGCCTTTTATAATTTATGAAAACCTCCAGGTTTGTATAAGTATGAAATGAGATAATGTGATATGATGAAATTAGATAGTGTATATGAGCATACTTTATAAACTATGAAGAACTATAGACAGTTATTAATTATCATAATGCTTTCATGGATATGCTTGGTTCCTGTGACACCATTTTTCTTTTTTTCTGTTTTTTTTTTTTTTTTTTTTTTTTTTTTTTTTGGAGACGGAGTTTCCCTCTTGTTGCCTAGGCTGAAGTGCAATGGCACAATCTCAGCTCACCACAACCTCTGCCTCCCAGGTTCAAGCAATTCGCCTGCCTCAGCCTCCAGAGTAGCTGGGATTACAGGTGCCCACCACCATGCCCGGCTAATTTTGTATTTTTAGTAGAGAGAGGGTTTTGCCATGTTGGTCAGGCTAGTCTTGAACTCCAGACCTCAGGTGATCCGCCTGCCTTGGCCTTCCAGAGTGCTGGGATTACAGGTGTGAGCCACTGTGCCGGGCCCATTTTTCTTTATTTAAACTTAGAAATGCCAAATAAATGCAATTAATATTTATCAAATGCCTCATATGTGCCAATATAAGCCCTATTAATAATTTAAATGTTTATGTTTTATTTGTTTGTTTGTTTTTGTTTTTGAGAGGGAGTCTCGCTCTGTCGCCCGGGCTGGAGTGCAGTAGCGCGATCTCAGCTCACTACAAGCTCTGCCTCCTGGGTTCACGCCGTTCTCCTGCCTCAGTCTCCCAAGCAGCTGGGACTACAGGTGCCCGCCACCACGCCCAGCTAATTTTTTGTATTTTCAGTAGAGACGGGGTTTCACCGTGTTAGCCAGGATGGTCTGAATCTCCTGACCTCACGATCCACCCATCTTGGCCTCCCAAAGTGCTGGGATTGCAGGCGTGAGTCACTGTGCCCAGCCCAATAATTTAAATGTTAATTGTTCTATTGAAGTAAAATATTTGTCTCTTTGTTACTTCTTACTTTCTTTACAAAAGTATAGAAGTTATAGATGATGGCATTCTTTTAGTAAAAGATTCAAGAATGTCAAAGCATATAGGGAAAAATGAGAAAGGCCATCTCTAATACTGTTTTCCTTTCACTCTCCAGAGTTAGCCAGAATTTGGGATATATCTTTGAAGTTTGTTTTCTTTATATAATATTTACATTCATATACATGTGTGCTTTTTTAAAAAAATGAACATTAATAGAATTATACTGCAGTATACATTTTTCACTTACAAATATTCCTTGGATAGCTTTCTGTGTCAATATATGTAAGTCTCCTTCATTATTTTGAACAAATGCAGAGTATTCTAGAATATTGCCACATAATGGAAAATATAAGATCCATGAACACAGGGACCTTTTCCGTTTTATTTACTGCTATGACTCCAGTTCCTCGAACAGGCTTGGTGTCTGGTAGGTACTCAGTAAATAGACTTAATGAATAATTCATTTAACATATGGATTATTTCTGGTTGTGGCTGTTGAAAATAGTACTGTTGTGAAAATGCTTACTTGCCTCCCTGTGCACACGACGAATCATCTTCTAGGGTGGCCGTCCAAATATCTTTTCAAAGACATGGTTTCATTGTCTTGTAGTTTCTGGTGTTGCCAGTGAGAGTTATCATACCAATCTCATTCTGGTTTCTTTGCAGGAAACCTATTTTTGTCCCTCAGAAAAGTTCTAGGACTTTCTCTTCACCTTTGGTGCTCTGAAAGTTTACAACAGTGGGTCTGGACATCGTGTGCTGCTTTTCATTTATCCCAGTCATCACTCACTGAACCCTTTAAACTGCAGAGGCACGCCTTTCTTCAGCTATAGGAAATTTTTTTCTCCTCTGTCTTTTATTGTTTCTTCTCTGTGACTCTTTCTGTTCTCTCCTTCCGAGAATCCTGTTAGATCACAGTTAAAACTTCTGGATATTTCTTTCATGCTTTGTAGCCTTTCTGTCTCACTTTCTGTCATTTTGTGGGATTTGGGGCGGAGAGGAAGATAAATAACTGTTCTGTTTGCCATCTTCACCCAGCTTCCTGACATAGTTCTTTTTATCCCACAAGGGTGACTTTTTTTTAAATCTGTCATTTCATTTGTCTCGCAGTCTCTTCCTAAAAAAAAAATATGACTCATATTTCATAATAATCGATGGGTGGTTGATATTTATTTAACATGCTTTTGTTTCATAGTCAGCTTTTTTTGAAGATGCTTTTTTTTCTCAAAGCCATAATACCAATTTAAAAATTAGGTTGTGTTGCTTTGTGCTATTGGTAGTGAGCCCAGTCGCTTTAAAACACGTGTTGGTATCTTAATCACTCATCAGGTCCAGGCAGCTCCAAGTGCTGATAAAGGCCTTGATGCTTCTCCAGATGTCTAAATGCTAGGTCCAGGTGCAGTAAGTAGACTGTTGGGAGCTGGCACATAGATTCTGAAGCACAACGTATTATTACAAATCAGAGTTTTAGGTTCTTGGTCTCCTAGAGTAATGGTTCTTAAGCCTGGTTCAGTACCAGAATCACCTGTGGTACTTGATAAAGCTATAAAGACCCTCTATTAGACCTGTTAAATCAAAATGCTATGGGGAATGGAACTGAGTGCCTGTATATCTCTGAAGGCTCTGGAGGTTATTCTGATACGCAGCCAAGTATGACTGTGTTTTCATGTCTGTATATATTTTCTTTTTGTATGGGTTTTCACTGTTCTTACTCTCTGTATGTATTTTTTCTTACTCATTCCTCATGAGTAAAATGGTTATACAGTGTCCCTTGGTACAGATGTGTTCTAATTTACGTAACATCCCCTCTTGGTAGACATTATTAATATGCTTCTAGTCTTTTTTCATAACAAGTTACTTTAGTACACTTGTACTTGTATACTTGTACATGTAACTTTGTACACATTTGTGAATATATGGGATAAATTACTAGAAGTGGACTTGTTCAGAGGGTATATATATTTGTGAATTTGAGAGATGTGTTTTCTTTGATTCCAATTTTTAAAATTGTTTTAAAATACCCATAAAATTGACTGGGTGCAGTGGCTCATGCCTGTAATCTCAGCACTTTGAGTGGCCGAGGCGGGTGGATCTCAAGGTCAGGAGATCAAGACCATCCTAGCTAGCATGGTGAAACCCTGTCTGTAGTAAAAATACAAAAAATTAGCCAGGCGTGGTGGCAGGTGCCTGTAGTCCCAGCTACTCGGGAGGCTGAGGCAGGAGAATGGCGTGAACCTGGGAGGTGGAGCTTGCAGTGTGCCGAGATCGCGCCACTGCACTCCAGCGTGGAAAACAGAGCAAGACTCCATCTCAAAAACAAACAAAAAAAACCCATAAAATTTACCGTGTAACCATTTTAAATGTACAATTCAGTGGCGTTAAATGCATTCTTAATGTTGTGCAACCATCACTACCTTTCGTCTCCAGACCTCTTTTCATCTTGTAAAACTGACTGAAACTCCATACCCATAAACGGTAACTCCCCATTCCTTCCTCTCCCTATCCCTGGCAACTACCATTTACTTTCTGTCTCTTGGATATCAGCTACTCCAGGAACCTCATATAAGTGGATTGTACGGTATTTGCTTATTTAACTTAGCATAATGTCCTCAAAGTTCATCAAGTTGTAGCATGTCAGAATTTTCTTTCTTTTTAAGGCTGAATAATATTCCATTGTGTGTACATAACACGTTTTGTTTTTCCGTTCCTCTGTCAATGGACATATGGATTTCTTCCACATTTTAGCTATTGTGAGTAATGCTGTCATGAACAAGGCTGTACAGATATCTCTTCAAGACCCTGTTTTCAGTTGTTTGGGGTATAGGCCCAGAAGTGGAATTGCTGGATCATATGATAATTCTATTTTTAATTTTATTAGGAACCACCATATTTTTGTTTCCCATGGTGACTGAACCATTTTACTTACGTTCCCACCAGCAGTTCATAAAGGTTCTGATTTCTCCGCATCCTCACCAACACTTCTTATTTTCTGCATTTTTGTGGTAGTAGCCTTCCTAATGAGTATGAAGTGAAATCTCTTTGTAGTTTGGATTTGCATTTCCCTAATGATTAGTGAGGTTGAACATCTTTTCATGTGCTTATTTAAGGCCATTTGTATATCTTTTTTGGAGAAATGTTTGTTTAAGTTCTTTGCCCATTTTTGATTTGGTTTTTTCTTATTCAATTATGGCAGTTCTCTATGTATTCTGGATATTAATCCCTTATATATGTGATTTGCAAATATTTCAGATTTTTTAATGTATGAAAATATGCGTTTTAATCCTCAAGAGTTAACGTTCTTAAACTGAAAATATTCTTAGCTATTCTTAAATCTTGGAAGTCCTTACATGTTGTTTTTATCTCTTCTTAGGCCAGTACTAAAGTGGAAGTGGACATGGAGAAAGCAGAAAGCCTGCAGGTGACGAGAGGAGACTTCCTTGCTTCTTTGGAGAATGATATCAAACCAGTGAGTATGCCCATTGAGTATCTATATAGGCCAAAAAGTAATGATAATAACTCAGGAGAAAAATAAGTGCCATTTACCCAGTATTATGGAAGGTTATAGCATATGCAGTTTCATAAAATGAGAAAATCTTAATATTGGAAATGTTCAATATGCAAACCATCTGTATAATAATCCCAATGGCTGGTGATAATACTTACCTAAATATTTTCATGATAGGAAGCTTACCATCTTGTAAGGCAGGCCATTCAGTTTTGAGACTTTCCAATTATTGTTTTACTTTATATTGAACTAGAGCTAATTTTCTGATTGGTTCTTATACAATCCCAAACTACAGAAACCTAAATTCAGTCCATCTTCCATATGTCAGTCATTAGGATATTTAAAATTGACGCTCATATCCTCCTTCTCCTCTCTCTCTCTCTTTTCTCCTCAGCCTCCTCCAAGGCATCCCTTTTTCTTGCTCAATACATTTAGTTTCTCTGACTACTATAGTTTCTAAGACTTAAAAAAAGTGTTAGTTTTCTTAAAAGGCATTCAAAATAGTCATAGTTGAGCTTTAGAATGCAGTATAAGGTTATTAACCCATTTTCCTATAAAACAACTACTAACATTTGAGTAACTTTTGTTTAGAGTCTTGTGTTAATACAAAAACAAATTGTAGAAAGTCCCAGTTCTTAAAGAGTGTGTGTTTGGTTTTCTTTCTTAAATGGACCTCAGGTCCATTAAGATTAGTCTTAATCTTTATGACACACTGTTATTAGTCTGTATTTTCATGGTGTGTAAAATAAGATATGGTATATGTAGTTTTCTGGGACTTGGTATTTATTAAATATTTTGTTGCCAAGAGTCATCTATGTCAGGAATTCCCAACCACCAGTACTGGTCCGTGACCTGTTAGGAACTGGGCCACACAGCAGGAGGTGAGCAGCAAGCAAGTGAGCCTCATCTGTATTTACAGCCACTCCCCATTGTTCGCGTTACCTCCTGAGCTCTACCTCCTGTCAGATCTTTGGTGACATTAGATTCTCATAGGAGTATGAACTCTGTTGTGAACTGCATATCTGAGGGATCTAGATTGCACACTCCTTATGAGAATCTAATGCCTGATGATCTGTCACTGTCTCCCATCACCCCCAGATGGGACCATATAGTTGCAGGAAAACAAGCTCAGGCTCCCACTGATTCTACATTATGGTGATTTGTATAATTATTTCATTATATATTACAATTTAATAATAATAGAAATAAACTGCACAATAAATATAGTGATGTAGTGTGCTTGGGCCGGGCACGGTGGCTCATGCCTGTAATCCTAGCACTTTGGGAGGCTGAGGCAGGCAGATCATGAGGTCGGGAGTTCAAGACCAGCCTAACCAACATGGTGAAACCCTATCTCTACTAAAAATACAAAAATTAGCTGGGCATAGTGGTGTGTGTCTGTAATCCCAACTACTCAGGAGGCTGAGGCAGGAGAATCACTTTGAACCCAGGAGGCAGAGGTTGCAGTGAGCCAAGATCGCACAACTGCATTCCAGCCTGGGTGACAGAGCGAGACTCTGTCTCAAACAAACAAACAAAAAAGTAATGCACTTGAAACATCCCGAAACCACTGCCTTCCCCTGCATGGAAAAATTGTCTTCTATGAAACTGGTCCCTGATGCCACAAAGGTTGGGGACTGCTGATCTATATGATTTCTTAGAACTAGACATCATTCATTTTCATGCTGAATAGCATTCCATTGTGTGACTACCACAGTTCATCTATTTTCCTGTTGATTGTGAATGTTGTCAGTTTTTTATTAAAAACAGATTTGTCATAAGCATTCTTGAATGAATTTCTCTTATTTAGGAGTAAAATTATTGGGTTGTTGGATATATGAATGTCCAGCTTTAAAAAAACATTTCCCAGTGGTTGAACCAATTAACACTGCCCCCAATACTGTGAAAAATATCCGTTTGTTCTGTATCCTCTCTGACACTTGGTATTATCAGATTTATTTTTTATTTATTTTTGAGATGAAGTCTCACTCTGTCGCCCAGACTGGAGTGCAGTGGCGCAATCTCAGCTCACTGCAACCTTCATCTCCCAGATTCAAGCAGTTCTCCTGCCTCAGCTTCCTGAGTAGCTGGGATTACAGGTGCCCGCCACCATGCTTGGCTAATTTTTGTATTTTTAGTAGAGACGGGGTTTCGCCATGTTGGCCAGGCTGGTCTCGAACTCCTGACCTCAGGTTGTCTGTCTGCCTCGGCTTTCCAAAGTACTGGGATTACAGGTGTGAGCCACTGCACCCAGCCTCAGATTTAATTTTTGCCATTCAGTTGAGTGTAAAATGAGATCTCGTTTCAGTCTTGATTTGCATTTTAGTTATTACTTAAGAACTTAAGCATTTCTCCATATGTTAATTGACCACAGGCATGTGTTGTGTGAAATACTGTTCAAGTCTTTTGCCTGTTTTTCTGTTGTACTGCTTATTTGACTAATACAAGTTCTTTATATACTTTTTTCTCAATTTTGTATTGTGTTAAAATACATATGAAGTTTACCATTGTAATCATTTTTAAATGTATAGTTCAGTGGTATTAAGCACATTCATAATGTTGTGTAATCATCACCACCATCCATCTCCAAAACTCTTTTCTTCTTCTTGAACTGAAATTCTATACCCCTTAAACAATAATTCTTTTTTCCCTCCCCTACAACACCTGACAGCCACCATTCTACTGTCCATCTTTATAAATTTCACTAATCTTAAGTACTTCATATAAGTGAAATCATAGTATTTGTCTTTTTGTAACTGGCTTATTTAATGTAGCATAATGTCCTCAAGGTTCACCCATCTTGCAGCAAGGGTCTGGAGGATAAAACAAAAAAAATGAAGTTATGAGATATGTAAGGAAGATATACATGTTATGTATCTTGGGAGAGTCACTGTTTTATGGTTCAGGTATCTTAAAGCTTCTGCTGTGAGGCTTGGAGTATATAACTGGAAAAATTAAAGACAAAAGCCAGCCTATAATTTTTTTTTTTTTTTTAAATGAGATGGAGTCTCTCTCTATCTCCCAGGCTGGAGTGCAATGGTGTGATCTCAGCTCACTGCAACCTCTGCCTCCCGGGTTCAAGAGATTCTCCTACCTCAACCTCCCAAGTAGCTAGGATTATAGGCACACACCACCACAGCCAGCTAATTTTTGTATTTTTAGTATAGATGGGGTTTCACCATGTTGGCTAGGTTGGTCTGGAACTCCTGACATCAGGTGATCTGCCTGCCTCAGCCTCCCAAAGTGCTGGGATTACAGGCTTGAGTCACTGCGCCCAGCTGTAAAAATTTCTTAGAACAGCCATTCGGCCAGTATGAATTAGGCTCATCATTACTTTTTACACTACTACAGAATTTGCCATATCCAGGCCAAAGAATGAGGACCTTCCTCTGTATGCAGGAATCAAAGGACCAGTATATGCAAGGAGACTACCTAAAAAGTGGTCTGAAAAATTATTTTGTGGCAAAGTAATAGAGAAATGAGATCGCTGGATACTGTTTCAGAGTCAGTGTTACAAAAACAGCTTTGTGTGAGGTGCATGTTCTAAAGAACTGTTAAAACTATTCCATACATCAGGTAATCAAAAGTTGACTTTTTGAGGGATGTGATGATATTTTAAAAGTTGAAATTCTCAAGATACATGATCTTTACATGTACGTGATCTTTACATATGGTAGGTTATGTTTTCCTATTCTGTTAACCTCATGAAAATCCAATTCAACGGTAAATACTAAAGTTATTGACTACTTTTGGCAGCTGTTTTGATGGGAGGTATAACCTTTGAGATTAAAAGTTGAAAATGAAGAAGGGTGTAATTTAAGCTCCAATATGTAGTGAACACAAATAGAATTATCATCTGTATTAATTGCTTTTATATCCTTTTCATTACAGCTGCTCATTTCTATCTCATCCTAAATCTTGTATTTACACATATAAACTAACGTTGGTGCCATTTAACTATGTCCCTTACCACAAAGTTGATGTGAACATGATCTTCTCATTACCATTTCATATTCTCATGTTAATCCATAGCACCTGCAATCAGTGTTAAGGTAGTATATTTGTCAACTGCGCTGTTTCTAATTTCTAAGTCCATAATCTCTTTTTTCCTTTGTTCTTAACAGAACAGCCTCAAACTGCATAGTGTTGATAAAAATAAGCACATTGGAACATACTCTTTCTCTCAGGAATTATGAGGGTTTGAGCTCTGGTAGATTCTGAGCCTAGAATCCATTGTTTTTATTCCATGAGGTTATTCAAAGCAGCCTTTTTTTTCCTATTGGGAAAAAAGTTAAATGATAAATTATACAAGTTGTTTTGCTTTCCAGGCTTTTTATATTAATATGGGATAGTGATCAATACCTTTAGCATGTACGAATTATAACTCATCTTTTATACTGTTAAATATTTTAGTTTTTAACACTAATGCTCAAAGTGCTTTAAACTGTCCTTTTTCTTAATAGGCATTTGGCACAAACCAAGAGGATTATGCAAGTTACATTATGAACGGTATCATCAAATGGGGTGACCCAGTTACTCGAGTTCTAGATGATGGGGAGCTGCTAGTGCAGCAGACTAAGAACAGTGACCGCACACCATTGGTCAGCGTGCTTCTGGAAGGTGAGGACGAATGAGAAGATGGGATTAAAAGTTAAAGGAAAAACAGCATTTTTTAAAAGCCCTTAAGCACATTCTAGAAAATTGAATTCTTTCCCATTTTTAACCTTGTTCTTGATCTGAAAATAGTAATCCAGTCTATGTACCAATATTTTGTACAAATTAAAATTCTCTTGGGGTAGAATGTTACTGAGGAATGATAGTAACTAGTTTTCTTGTAGGATTATATCTGTATTTCTGTGGCACTTAATACACTGAATGATGCCACATAGCTTCAATTCAATTAAATAAATATTTACTGAGTACTTGCATTTTAGTCATTCAGCTAGTTGCTGGGGATACAAAGATGTTCAAGTATTCATTCAGTCTGGTCATGAACAAAGGCAGTGTAAAGAAATTCCTGACTACAGTGTGTGTGTGTAAAGTTGTGTGAATACAAGTCATTTTGCATAGGGGTGGTCGAGAAAACTAGAGATGATATTTAATCTAGGCCTTGAAAGACCAGTTAGGATTTTACTGAGTAGACAGACAAAAGGGGAAGAACATTCCATTCACAAATAATTAATTTACAGTTATAATTAGTATGACAGCAGAAAAGTTCAGTGAGGCCCCATGACAAGGGAACCTAACTACCTTTAAAGGTCTGGGGGTGAGAGCTCCCTGAGAGAAACATATTAAGCCATAACTTGACCAATGAGGAGACTCTGGCCAGGCAAAGTCATTGGGGAAGATGTTTGAAGCAGAGCATGTAAGTTCTGGGCAGGAAGGAGCTTGAAACAGAAAGGGAGATTGTCCTGACATGAGACTGTAGAAGCAGACAGAATCCAGTTCATATAAAGCCTTGTAGGCCATGTTAAAGATTTAGACTATCTTAGGGGCAATGGAAAGCCATTTGTAGGATTTTAAGCAGTGAAGCCACATCATCATGACTGCTTTATGATGGAGAATGGATTGGAGGGGCAAAAAGATACAGGAGAGACAATTTTGGTTAGAAGCAGTTGGATTAGCCTTAATGAGAGTCGATTGTGGTTTGAAGTATGTGGAGTAGTGTAGATGGAGATAAGTAGACTAATTAGAAATATTGAGGAGATAGAATAAAAATGACCACGTTATTATTGTGAATCATAATTAAGCTAACATTTTTTGAGCCCTTGCTATTTGCCAGTCACTCTACTAGCACTGTGCACATACTATCTATTTAAACCCCACTTAAGTCCTCCAAGGGTCAATGCTGCTGTTGTCTCTATTTTGTAGGTGGAGAAGCGGAAACTTAGAAATATTTGTTAGATTGGATGTGGGCAGAGGTATCAAACATGACCCCCTGGGTTCTGGCATACACAGCCCGGTAAATGATGCTGTTTACTAAGATTGGGAACACTAATGGAAAGCAGATTTCTGGAAGAAAGTTGATGAGTTCAGTTTTGAACATGTTAAATTCAAGGGTCATATAGGAGAAGTAAATCGGAAATGTTGATCTGCCTGCCTGTTGGATATGTGGGTCTGGCTGGCAGTAGACTCATGAGTTGTCAGTATGTAAGACTGTGGTTGAAGCCATGGGAGTGGATGAAATCACTTAAAGTGAGGGTATCGGTTGAGATGAAAAGGAGGACTAGAACTTGTATCTGAGGCATGTTAACACTTAAGGACTAAACAGAGCAGAAAAATTGACAAAAGAGACTGAGCAAGAGTAACCAGAGAGGAAAGAGGGGAAAGAGAGAATGTGTATTACAGAAGCCAAGAAAAGAAACATATTTTAAGAAAGAGGGAAATTATGAATTGTATCAAATGCTCCTAAGAGGCTGAAAAAGATACCAAAGTGTTTGTTGGGTTTGATGACATGGAGATCATTTGTGACCTTGATGGGAGCCTGTTCAGTGTAATGGGGCTGGGAGCCATAAGATTTAGTGAGGATGGGTGGGAGGTGAGGAACAAAAGCAACCACTGTAAATAATTACATAGGCAAGTTCCATTTTGAAGGGAGAAGAAGGTGTAGTGTTGAGGGGTATAATATCCAGAAAGTTTTTTGTTGTTATTTAATAAACTGTCAGATAGACTAGAACATGCTAAAACACTTTTGGAAAGGCCTCAGGGAAGAGGAAGAAGTTGAACATATGGGAGAAAGGAACAATCAGTAATGTCAGGTTCCTGAGAAGATGGGAAGGAAGGTTTGATTGGTTTATGGTTGAATGAGGGACACAGCTTCCAAAACAGGGAAGGGAAGGCAGGGATGTCTAAGTGTAGGTAGGTTTGTAGATTTGCTTGCCTTTATGAGAAAGCCTGAGTCTTTAGAATTCTAGCTTTTTACATCACATTTGCTTCTAATAAGGCAGTTTTCCCCTGCCCCCAATATCAGCTCCTAAGAAGATTGTATTTTTTTGTTAGACAAATTATTTGATAGAACTAATAAGTACTGATAACATAAGTACTGATATGCATTTGAATGCATTCTCTTAAGAAGCAAAACCCTTACACTCTGTATATTTTGCCAAAAGTTTGAAAGATTAAGGGTATGTGAGAATGTCAGGAGGCATGTATTTCACCATACTTTTGAGAAATGCTAATTAGTTCGTTAAGTTTAGTTGCTAATAAATAAGAGAAAACATGTCTGCTGTGAAATTGTGTCAGGAAATGTTAATGAGCAACTAGTCAAGACCTCAGTATGTTCTGGATAAAAGTTTAAACTTGTTTTATTTCCCTTTGCTTAGGTTGGCTTTTTTCCCCTGACTTGCTCATGTCTTTATGCAGGCCCTCCTCACAGTGGGAAGACTGCTTTAGCTGCAAAAATTGCAGAGGAATCCAACTTCCCATTCATCAAGATCTGTTCTCCTGATAAAATGATTGGCTTTTCTGAAACAGCCAAATGTCAGGCCATGAAGAAGGTATCAAGATTTTACTTTCATTTTAATTTCCTATCTCTTAAATGTGTGTGTGTGTGCACATATATATGCCTTTGTACGTGTATACATATAAACCCATAGCAACTGTGTCCTTCTCAATTGAAACCAAATTATCAGAATTTGGGGAGAAACAGTGACTGTTTTAGATTTTTTAACTTTGTAATGTATTTTATTGAGTACCTTTACCTTCTAAATTATGCTTTGTTTAATACATATTAAGATTGTTTCATTTCCTAGTTTTGTATCAATTTTATTAAAAGAGTCATAGTTGAAAATGTTTGAATAAAGTGGGACAAATTCATTTAGGATTTTTTAAAGTTCTTTCATTATGGTACAAAGTTGAACTGTTTGGGGTCAATTAAGTTGAGGAAGACAGAGATGTATCAATGGGAAAATAGTCCAGGAATCCCTACAAAAGGATAGTTTTATATTAGGCAATAATCAGAATCTGCTTGGTAACTTGATGCAGTTCTCATCCATCTTCCTTTCTCCAAGTGCCACTCGTCACCTTCTTAATTAACATGGCCACTTTATACCATCAGTGAAGTTAGAACAGCATAGAATAGAATCCTAGAGCTGAAAAGTCTGTAAGACCATCTGGTCCATCTCTCTCACATTCAAGCAAGTGCCATGCAACAGCAACAGAAATCAATGATGAAGACTCTAAATGGCTGTTCCGTCTTACTTGTTAGATCATGTTTCCATTGCTCTTCTAATTTTGCATACTGCCAGTCAAGAAATTATTTCTTATATCGGTCTGAAGTATTTCTTTTATTTAAATTCTTTTTTTCATGCTTGATCTTTTATAGATATGAACTGACTATGTAAGTCCAAGAAATGCGGGAAAATCAGAATGAGGTGAAAGAATCTTGAGAATTGAAGTGCTACCTAGTAAAGACAGCTCAGGGTTTTCTTTTAAGTTGCTCTTAGGTATTCGCTCTATAAGGATATAGTGTAGAATTCTTCGGTGTTTCTTTGGGAAAGAGACTGAGGAGGAGAAATAGATTTAAAAGGAAGATGACTCCCAAAAAATGTAAGCTTGAAAAGCTAGTCTCTTGTTTGTGCAGGTGGCAGAAAATTGCACAGGGTACTTCAGATGGATGGAGGAAGCAGAACTTGTAGCAGGATTCCAGGCATAAACACTGAAGAGTCCAGAGAAATACATAAAAATCTTTGAAATTGAGTGTGAAAGAGAAATATTGCCAGACTCAAAAAGAACTTATAATATCATATTCTGTCTCTGAGGTGAAACCAGTAGTATCTGTCCTTCCCAGGAAAAATAATGGGGACCAGTAATTTCCCTAGAGTAGGTAGGGCTGTTTTTCTTTGTTTTTTTGTTTTCCCTTTGATGGGAACCCTTAACCTACTTCTTCTGGTAAAAATTTAAATAGCAGCCCTTGAAATCTGTAGCTGTTGAATGTCCCATTTATTTATTGAATAGCTAATTCTATTTGCATTTTCCTAAATCATCTATTCCTGTGCTTTTTCAAAAGTAGTAGTCAGCTTTGCAGATGGTAAATTACTCCATTGCTTTCCACCAGCTGCCAGCTTCTACCTCAGATGTACTCTGAGATGTGGGTGGATGGTCCTAGTTTTTCTATAAAGTTTTTAAAAAGTACTTTAGGCTTCTGCAGATCAAAGCTACTTCGTAAGTGTGAGATATTATCATTTTTATTATTTTAATCTCTTGCAAATTGACTTGAAGGGGGAAGGTAATATGTGCTGATTTTAGAGGCTTAAATGGTTAAATTAATGGCTTAATAACTTATGATTTAATCTTCAAATTGTTGAAGCCTTTCAAGGTAGAGTTTTAGATGAGTGGAAGGCTAGGGAGTATAAAAATAAGTGTCCATACAAGCTTATTCAAAATTGTTTTAATTCGTGATTCACTGCCCGGATCATGCATGCACTCTTAAACTTATAAAAACTATTTCTGCTTCAGCGGTATAATAAATTTGTATTAGAATTTTTGGTTTTCCTTGGGGGAAAAATACTATTCTTTGTAATTAAAGTTCAGAAAAGAGAAAAGAATGAAGCATAGGTGTCTTGGAAATATATTAGGAATATTACAAAATCTTTCCCTGCAAATAGTTTTCACATTGTTACCTAATGATAGATTGACAAAAGCCTAAGGGCTCAAACCAGTCTAAAGATGCTAAGTCTTCCAGGTTGTTTTTGAAAATGAAATGTAAATGTCATTCTTTAGTATAAGTTCTAGTCTACCTCCCATTACTGTTCTTGCCCCTCCATTTTTAGTGTGAGGATGGGAAGATGTTTTAATTTTTTTTCAGAAGACAAATAATTTATAAAGTTTTGTATTTCTGGAGAAAACCTTTCTTTTGTTGTAAGTGCAAAAAATAAGGTAGCTTTTTCTAATTACAGAAATAATTTAGAAAATACAAGAAAGAACAGAAGAAAATAAAAATAAATTCATATTTGTCCTTCAATTCTCTTTACCACTCAGACATGCATATACACATGAACACATTTACCCCTCCCTTATATATTGGGAATTACATTGAAACATACTGGTGTAAACTTGCTTTTTTTACTTAAAATATTATGAACTTTTTTCAGTGTAACTAAAGCTTATCTGAGTATTATTTTAAATTAATAGCTGTCTAATATCTGAACAGTCCCTTTTTTGTTGGACCATTAGGTTGTTTCCAGGTTTTTTTCATAATTATAAATAATATGTGTGTCAAAGAGTTATCTAAACTCCCAAGGTCATTGCAGCAGTATTCACAGTAGTGGAATGGAATCAACCTGAATGTCCCTCAGGATGAATGGATAAAGAAAATGTAGTACATATACACTGTGGACTATAACACAGCCATTTAAAAAGAATGAAATCCTTGTCATTTGCAACAACATGGATGAAGGAGCTAATGTTAAGTGAAAGAAGCCAGGCACAAAAAGTCAAATATCACATGTCCTCATTCATATATGGGAACTAAACAATTGAACTCACGGAGGTAGAGTTAGAGTGATGGTTATCAGAGGCTGGGAAGGATAGTGGGGATGGGAGAATAAGGAGGAGATAGTCAATGGGTATAAAAATACCGTTAAATAGAAGTAATAAGATCTAGTGTTCAACAGCACAATAAATTAACTATACTTAAAAATCATGGGCCAGGCGTGGTGGTTCACGCCTGTAATCCCAGCATTTTGGGAGGCTGAGGTGGGAGAATCACGAGGTCAGGAGTTCGAGACCAGCCTGACCAGCATGGTGAAACCCTGTCTCTACTAAAAATACAAAAATTAGCCAGGTGTGGTGGCACACGACTGTAATCCCAGCTACTCAGGAGGCTGAGGCAGGAGAATTGCTTGAACCCGGGAGGGGGAGGTTGCAGTGAGCCGAGATCACACCCCTGCACTCCAGCCTGGGCGACAGAGCGAGACTCTGTCTAAAAAATAAAATTATGTATAGTTCAGGGAGAGGGTGTGGTGGCGGTGGCGATGGCAGGGAAAGAGTTGGAGCAGTGCCAGTGGCAGGCGAACAAGGTGACGGAAATCATGCTTAACAATTTCAACAAGATCCTGGAGCATGATGGGAAACTGGCCAAACTGGAGCAGTGTTCAGACCAACTCCTGGATATGTGCTCAGGCTTCAGCAAGACAACAAAGACCCCGGTCCACACAAAGTGCTGGGAGAACATCCATTGCTGGATCTGCTTGGGGCTAGTGGTGGGTGGTGGCCTGTTCATCATCCTGATTGAGTGGCTGGCCATCTTCTTCCCTCGGAGCAGTGACACCAGTAATGCCCCATGGACCAGGATGCAGATACCACCTTAGGGCCTGGGGACTGACTCAGCTGGTCCTGAGGGAGAATGTGACTGCTCTGGCCAGTTCTGATCTCCAGAGAACCTTGGTGTTTGCTCTACCCTGACCCACCCCAATGAGTGCCAAAAGGCAGCCCCAATGTGTGCACCCCTGCATTTCCTGTCACGTCACAGACTGGCCTTCGAGGGCACTCTGCTGTACTGGCCATGCGGGGCCAGCCCCACCTGAAGCTCAGTAAAAGCTGTTGTTTGATTTTTTTAAAAAATTATATATAGTTGAAAATAACTACAAGAGTGGAAATTGAATATTCCTAACAAAAATAAATGATACATGCTTAATGAGTTTCACAACTACCCTTATTTGATCATTACATGTTTTATACTTGTATCAAAATAGTGCATGTACTCCATAAATATGTATAGTTATTATGTAGCCATAATAATCTTAAAAATTTATATAAAAACAGTATTCCATAGGACTACCAAACTAGGGAAATTACTGCCCCCATTTATTAGATTTTTCTTCACTAGAGTAGCATAACATGACAGAATTTGGGCTTGCTCAGCTCTCCACACTGACCAGCCGAATGACCTTGGATACGTCATTTAACCTATAAGCCACTGTTTTCTCTTCTGTCAAATGAAGATAATAACTGCATTGTAGGGTTATTATGAGAATTTGATGGTAATTTCTGTAAAGTATCACACAGTGCCTGGGATATAATATGAAATCAATGAAGTGTACTGGTTATTTTTACTTATTCTTATACATAACGTTTTTTATTATTTCCTTACGACAAATTCTCAGAAGTGTGATTGCTAAGGTAAAAATATTAGTATTGTAAAGATATTTGATACATAGTGCTATCAAAACTCTTAGGTAAAAAATACTCTTGGTTTTATAAAGCCTACCCCTTCAGAAATTTGTGATAGTTTACACCTGTATCCGCGTCATATAAGGGTATGAGTTTCTTGGGATTCTCACCTGTATTTGATACTATTAAAATATTTTTGCCAGTTTGATAGGCAGAAGGTTAGCATTTAATTATTTCTTTAGCTACATTTCAATGACTAAATGCTCACATTTAAAGATTTTTCAAAATGTTTTGCAATGACAATAGTCTGTGAAACTCAGAAATATGTAACATATTAATTTTTGTTAAAGACTTGTGGTCTGAATTAGTTAATTCATAGAGCATC